GGGCGCGCTGATCTGTAACTGACAGTGAAAATGGTGTTAACATGCTGAGCATGACCTAGAGATGGAAAGGCCTGGCCTGTAACCATCCCACCCAGAGGCCCTTCCGCACCCTTCAGAAGATGAACACAACCATTAACTGAATTTCTCAAGATCTCCTCTAGACCTGTCTTTGCTTCCTTTGTGTCTGCTCCCGTCTTCAAGGAAGCACCTGTACCCACAAGAGGGTAATGCACTTCTTAGACACTTTTTGGGGAGACGCGTTTCCTGTCTCTTGTCCTTGATTTATTATTGCCTTTATTTGTTCTCCCCCATTTAGTTCATTTTATTTTAGAAGAACAGCTCCCGGGGCCTTCTATTTTCATGGAAATTGCTCAGCAATAACAATTTCAGATAGCTTGCAAAAGAACAATCATCCTGCGAAGGCCAGTTTGCCCAAGATGCTTTGCAGGCACTTCACATAACAATTTACTAATTAATGACAAATTAAATGGAATTTGGTAAGAAGAATCAGAGGTTAGAGTGCGGGTATATATTATGTATAAAAAAGGTATGCAAATATCTTCAGCCCATTTGTGGTTCATCAGTGGGAAATAATAGCCATTCTGCTCATAACACCCACAGACGAGAGGGGCTGTAACACAGGGGCTGAACTTGGAAATTACATATAATTCTCATTTTTAACAGTTTCTTAGATTATACATTGTGCCTCCATTTTCCAGATACAATGAACTTTGTCTTCTCTGTTTTAATAGTTTAGAGTTATGGAAATTCACCTATACTTTGTGGCTTGTATTATCTGTGTGTTGGAAGGCGAGAAATAATCCTTGGGAAAAGTTTTTACTGCTGTCATAGTTACTTTTGAATGTCAACTTCACACAACCTAGGGTCTCCCGAGGAGGGAGTCTCAGCTGAAGGACGGCCCAGGTCAGATCAGACAATAGGCATGCCTGTGGGGGGTTGTCTTGACTGTTAATTGATGTAGGAGGGGCATGCCCACTGTGGGCAGCACCTTCACCTGGGCAAGTGGTCCTGTGGTACATAAAAAAGACTAGCTAAACATGAGCCTGTGAGCCTGCAAGCAAGCTCTCCAATGGTTTCTACTTCAAGTTCCCACTTAAGTGCCTGTCCTGACTTCCCTCGGTGATGGATTGTGACCTGGAAATACAAACCCAATTAACCTGTTCTTCCCCTAAGTTGCTTTTTGTCAGAGTGTTTTATCACAGCAACATAATGAAACTAGAACAATCGCTCATTCCGATCTCCTACAGCAGACACAGGAAAACTATAGCCCTCTTTCTGTTTTTGTAAATAAAGCTTTATTGGAATGGAGCTACCTGCATTTATCTATACATTGCTTAGGGCTGCTTTTGAATTACTAATGCGGAACTGCCATGGATATTTGAAGTGTATAATGACTATAAGATTTCTAATCTGGACTTTTATAGACAAAATTTGCTAGCCCCTATTCTATAAGGTAAAGCTGGAGAGAGAGAACACTTGTCATAAAGAGCAAACAAAAGCTTTTAATAATTTACTAAGAAATTAAAGATGTCCTATTACCTTTAAACGTCCGTAAATGGTTATCATCATTCCAACAAATCTTGCAAACACTCTTCTTTGCTTAGAGCATGTGTGTGTGTGGTGGTACGAAGGGGTGACTTCCTTCTCTCTGCCTCCTTTTTGTAGCCGACTGAACAGGCAGCTCCTCTCAAGAGAACACAGGTCACAACATACACCACCAACGCATTAGTGGCATAACCATTGTGGGGCAACCAATCACTTTGTGCTTAGATTTGAAGGTAGCTCCACATCTGGTACAGTAAATTCAACCTGGCCAGAAGCTGGGTAGTAGTTCACAGGCCTTCAAAGAAAGCAAACAAGAAAAGAGCAAAAGAAAGGGAAAGAAAACACAGGCCACCCTAATAAGGAGAAGCTTTATGAAGAGTGAAATATGTCTGTCACCTATGCGAGCATAGGTTTCCCGTGTCAAATAAGACAATTGATTTGGGCATATGTCAATTAATACACGTTCACTATTTCTAAATTTGTGACACAAAATATCTCCTTGGACCTTCACCCCAGCTTCTTCCTATGATGTCAGCCCCATGTCGGAACTGTGAAAAGGAGAGGCAAACCTGCAGAGCCCTCTAAGCCCTCAATTCAGATCTCCCAGCACTCACTTCTTCTCATTTTATTGGACTGGTCAACGTAAGTTACAAGGTCAGTCCACACCAGAGTCCCTCCTTCTTTGGTGGGCATGCCACTCAACTTTCCATCACTACAACAAGCACCTGAGATTAAGCAACTTCTAAAGGGGAAAACGTTATTTTATCTCATCATTTTGGAGAGCTTAGCCATTATCCACGGTCCTGAAAAGTTTTATAAAAGAAGCTTTATTTCATTGCAGGCCTGGGACAAGGCAGGATACATCATTTGGGAGCTTCCTGATGGAACAAAGGTGCTCACCTCATTGCCAGGAAGCAGAAAAGAGAGAAAGAGACTGCGTGCGATACCCTTTCAAGATACCCTGCAAAGTTACACCTCGATTATAGATTACTCACTGCACCCTACCTCTTAGTTTCCACCACCTGCAAATGCCCAGGTAGGAAGTAAACCTCTGGCCCCTTGCGGAAAGACTCCAAACTCCAGTAATGAAGAAGTGGACATTCTTCTTCGTCAGGAACACAGACACAGAAGAGGGGAGATTTGTGTCTTTGTTAGTCAGGGTCTCATGTAGCCCATGTGGGTCTCAAACCCACCGCACAGCTGGGGATGACTTTGAACTTCAGGTCCTCCTGCCTGGCTCCCAAGCGCTGCACCACTGTGCCTGGTTTACTGTAGTGCTGGGGTGAAGCCCAGGGCTTCCTAGATGCGAGGCAGGCACTCCGTTGACTGAGCCACACCCACAGCCTTTGATTTCAAGCTCCACAAGTAGTGATTTCAAAATTGCTGGGAAGAACAGACAGGCCGCCTGACTCCCAACTCATTGATGACACTCTCAGCACACCTAAGCCTTAAATCCCGCCTGCTCGGTTGTCAATTGGAAAGGCCAAGGAAACTGTGAATATGCCTCAGTGAGTGGCCAGCCTGAGGCTGGATGAGGCTAACGGACAAATATAAACCTCTGAAGGACTGGGGAGATGGCTCGGCTGTTAGGAGCAGTTGCTGTTTGTGCAGAGGTTTGGAGTTCTCTTCCCATCACCCAAGCTGAGGAGTTCACAACGGCCTGGAATTTCAGATTCCCAGGGATCCAATGTCTCAGGCCTCTGTGGGCACCAGCACGCACACATACACAGACATAAATAAAGAATAAAAGTAATCTTCAAAATAAAAATCCTGTCCATTTTAAATGGGCCTAGTTATTGCTGTGGTAACACCAAATGCCCCGGGTCAGTTTCCTGATTGCCTTACCCCAGATTGTGACCAAAGAAGCACCCAGGGGTGTCCCTTTCTCCACTTGCTACTTACCTTGTTGTAACCTGCACAGTTTGTGCGGATCGTTGTTAGGAAAGCTTGAGCTCAGCAGACAGGCAGATTTGACTTCCGAACGCATCTCCTGTTAGCTGTCTACCTTGAGAAAAATCTCTTCACCTGAGTTTCTCCATCTGTTCCGTGGACAGATATAAGAAGTGCTGTAATAATTTGTAGAAACACGGGCTGAGGAGATGGCAAGGTATTAAAGCACCGTCACACACGTGTAAAGAGGAGTTCAGATCCTTAGAACCAGTGTAAATGGCGGGTAGGCGTGGCAACCTACCTTCGATTCTAGATTTGGAAAGCAGAGACAGGATTCCCAGAGTAGTTAGCTATCTAGATTCGTCATATCGGTGACTCTGGGGTTGATTGAGAGACCCTGCTTCAATGAATAAGGTGAAAAAGTAATGGGGGCAGAGTCCCAACTCTAAGACGAACTGTTAAACAGTCTTATTATTGATAATAATAAAGCCCAGACCCAGATATTGGGGTGAAAACTGAGATATCAGAGAAGCAGAAAGAAGCCAGCCATGTTCTTACTGCTAGAAATCGTCAGTCAAAGAGAGGCCAACTTCCTGTATACCCACTCCTATATGCCTTTCTATCCCTGCCTTCTTTCTTCCTCTCTCTGCCTAGCTACATCACTTTCTGTCTGTCTGTACAGACCTCTGGACTTCTATGGTTAGTGCTGGGATTAAAGGCATGTGCCACCACACCTGGCTCTGTTCCCAGTGTGGCCTTGAACTCACAGAAATCCGGATGAATCTCTGCCTTCCGAATGCTAGGATTAAAGGTGTGTGCTGCCATTGCCTGACTTCTATGTTTAATATAGAGGCTGGCTTTTTCCTCTGACCTTCAGAAGAGCTTTTTGGGGGTGCACAAATAAAATATCACCACACCCTACAACAACCATGAGCTTCCAGATGTGCATGAGCACATGAATGTTACCCACAGGTAAACAATCATACACATCTATGCACATCACACATACATGGACACGGAAAGACAGACAAGACTTAGTAAAAAATGAATGAATCTTAATTGTTGACATACAATGAGCATTCAGTAAGTGCTGGCTACTGCTGTGGATTTTAGTAGACTGTGGCCAGAGACTTAGCAATGGTCTGGCTTGAATTTGAATTTGAAAGATGAGTAGAAATTGGGGAACAATCTTGTAGAATATCAGACAGAGACACACAACACTATGTATCATTTAGTTAAAAATAACTAGACACTTGGCTGGTGCTCTTCTCTTTAGATCCAGCCTCTCTTTCCAAGAGCTCAGGAAATAAAGTAGGAGAAGATCCTTGGGCAGATGTGCAAGGACTTTAAACATCTGTACACGAGCAACTGGGTATTTTTAGACTAGACAACTGAAGGCAACAGGAGAGGTGAATGAAATGGAAACCAGACAAGCGCATGAGGAAGAAGACTAGGTTGCATGGTGAATGGACTAGCGAGGGGCCACAAGGAGGGGACCCACAGGGAATGAGAGCTTGCCTGCCTGCCTTCCACACTCAGGAGTGACTTGAAATCTCAACCACCCATTCTTTCATTTTTAGGTGTTTAATGAATACATATTAACTATATGTACTATATGCACTAACTAACTAACTAACTAACTAACTAACTATATATATATATATAACATAACAGGTTTCATTATGGTATTTGTATACATGCAAATAATGTATTGATCAGATTCACCTCCATTACTCCTCTTTCTCTCCCTTCCCCTCCCACTGACCACCTTCCTTTTTCCAGCCAGTGTCCCCTTTCCTTTCCAGGCTTTTTGTGTGTGAGAGCTTGTGGGTTTAATCAGGGTTACTCAGAGGAGTACAGACAAGGGGCTATCTACAGGAACATGGGCAACTTACCAGTGGCCTCTCCACTGAAGAAGCCATCTGCCCTACACACCCCCACCCCTACCCCTCTATCTACCATTAACTGCCTGTAAATCCCCAGGGAGGGCTTAGGTCTTGTGAACCCACCTCCCCAACTCCACCAGGCATGTCCATGCACACAATCCTGTGCAGCCGACCACAGATTTGAACACCCCTCCTGGGGGAAGATGGGCTGTTCTTCCCATCCCCTTGAAAATGATCCTACCTCGGTGAGTAACCTCTAAAACAAGGATGGAGGCAGATCAGATACAGCATGGCCAGGTTTGCAAGACTGGAAACACGGTAAGTAGCACTATTCCTAGCTGGCTCTTTCTCTACTGGGCTCCAGATTTAGAACTCAGCTCCAAGCCATGAGGAAGCCTAGTCACCATGAGGAAGGTCATGTGCTCTGCAGCACCAGCAGCAAGCAGTCCTAGCTGGCAGCCAGTGTCAGTCTCAGATGTGACGAAGACAATCCCTAGGCGACCCCAGCCACAGCCTTCACCCCCCCTGCTGCCGAGGGCTGGTGAAGCCAGATGAACTCTCCGCAGTAAGTTTTGCCTAAATTGCTGTTTGTGAGTAAAATAAATATTGTTGATATTTTTAGTCACTGACTTTGGGGGTGTTTTGTTACACAGCAGTGGTTAACTAGAAGCAGCTGTTCTGGATGCTGGGTAGGCGTCACACACGCTGTTTATTCTTACGCTTTTCAAGAAGGCACGGTCTGCAAATCAAAATATTTGTGGATGGAATGTTCCCTCCTCCATTGCCCTCTCCATTTTCTTAGTGGCGTTTATCATGATTTGCCATTGTAGTCTTTATTTGCTCCTGTATTGATTTATTTGGTGTGTGTTTATTTTATTTCTTCCCCTCCCATTAGGACAGAAATCTCTTAGTGCCCCGATCTTGTTTGTCTCCCTCACTGCTATATCCCTTTACCTACCCTAGCCTGGCATGTCATGAACACACTGTAAACATTTGTGGGATAATGAACAAGCAGATAAACACCATGAAAGTTGGACGTGTCCAATTTCATTACACAGAAACCACATTCAGAAGGCATGTGCCCAAGTTTTAAGAAAGAGGAAAAAAAATACAATTTAGGTCGGCAAATGGAGGGGATGATAAGCCCTTTTTGTGTATTTGTTGCATTTGTACATACATGTGTGGTGTGCACGGCTGTACGTATGTTTGACTGTCTGTGCATGTGGGTGAGTGCACATGTGTGTGCATGGGTATGTATGCACATGTGTGTGGAGCTCTGTTTATGTTTGGTGTCTCTCTCAATCACTTTCCACCTTATATAACGAGACAAAGTCTCCCATCCAACCCAGAGTACACTTTCTGTTCGCCTAGCTAGCCGACTTGCCCTGGGGACGCTTATCTCTGCCTCCCCTTTGCTGGGATTACAGGTAGACCATTAAACCCACCCAGCATTCATTCTGAAGATAACAGTTCCAATCCTGATGGTTATGGGGTAAGTGCTTTTGCCACTAAGCCATCTCTTCAGCCTATGTGCATTTTTCTTTTGATGATTTGGTCCTCAGCAGTCCGTGCCCCCGTGTTCCATGTCCACATTAGCTGGGCTCACAGCAAAGGGATCATCTTTGGATACCTGCTCTGAGAAGCACTGATGTACTTCCTCTCTTCGGATCGTCAATAGTTCCACAGGCAGGTACTCCCGTTCCCCATCAAGGGAACAGGACACAGGCTTACATGGCTTTATGTGACTGTTCTTGCATGAAGCAAAGATATCCTTGTTCAAGCAGATTGAGAAAGCATGTGAACAACCCTCTTTTTGTGTAAGAGGCACAAAGAGACCAGGAAGCTTGGTCCAGTCAGCAAGTTCTAGACCAGTGGGAGCTGCTGTTACACACACACACACACACACACACACACACACACACACACACACACACGAGTGCTTGCACTCTCCCATCCCCCAGCATCAAAAAGAACAGAAGTGTCTCCTCATTCCAAAATCTGGAAAGTTCAAGATCAAGATTAGGAGGTTTAAAGCCTTGAGAAGAAGTCTCAACTCACCGTGTGTCTCCACATCTCAGAAGATACATGGCAGTTCTGGAGACTCTTACAAAGGCTCCACTCACAAGGGCTCCGTTACGTGATCCTCCTGCCTCCACCTCCTTCAGCAAATCCTGCAGGTCTGTGCCACCACAACTAGTAAAATCCGCTCTCATGATCCAATCACTTCCTAAACAGTTCATCTTTTAATATAGTCATATTTGTGATTGCGTTTCAACACACGAATTGTAGCAGAGACAAAAATCCAAACTGTAGTCTCCATTCCTTGCATGTGTATGTGATATATGTTATATACAGATACATGTGCATGTGTATGTGTGTGTGTGTGTGTGTGTGTGTGTGTGTGTGTGTGTATACATGAGGGCACCCATGTGAAGGACAGAGAATGACTTTTGGATATTGATTCTCTCCTTCTACCATGTATGTCCTCAGGATTGAACTCAAGTCGTCAGACTCGGTAGCCAGCACCTTTATTGCTCATCTACAATCTCATATAGGGCGCATACTATATGAGACAAGATAGAAAACCATGAAGACATGGGAAGGGGAAGGGGTGGTTTATCTGGGGTTTACTTGAAGCCTCGACTGGCTGAGAACAACAGTTCCAGTGACATTTGCTTAAGGCCTTCTCCTTTCCCAGCTATAGGTCTAGAACTTTCTAGCAATCTCATTAGAAACTCCTTGAGTAGCCCTAGTAACTCCTGGTTTTGTGATATCAGACTGGTGTCCCATCAGCTACCTCGGGAGTCAACCTACTCTCTCCTTTTCAAAAACAGAGAAAAGGCAAAACCACCTGGTGTTTCTCAGCAAGCCTTTTGAGATGTGACCTGAAAGTCACCCCAATGTAGCTAATGGTAAGGCACGTAACTGTGACTCTCCCTGGAGGATCCTGTACCCACACTCAGATGTGCTTTATTCTTTCCCTGTGTGTCTTTCCCTCTCTTAACCCT